CTCTTACTCTAGGTTTGCTCAGGTTCAAAGTTATCAAACTCAGTAAAGCAAAAAATCATCATGTTTTCACTATCTTCTTCAGTCCTGGACCTCATGTCTATTCTGTGCTGAAGTTCGGGAAATCGCTTAGGAAGTAGACAAAGACTAGTTTGGAGACTTTCAGCGGAGATGTGGTTTAGAAAGCTGTTCACTTCTCTCTCATTTGGGGTTTATCCTTTTCCAGTAAAGAGCCAATAACTGGGTGGCATGGGTGCTTCTAAATATGAATTGTGAGGTCAGTCTTGGGGCTACAATGTTGGCACTCTCTCTTCAGTGATCTTTCCCTCTGTGGAAAAAAATCTGGCACTTACTATTTGGCGGTGGGGGGACTCTCCTTTGTATTGACCTGATAATGTACCTGTGCCGTAGGTACCTATCCATCTGTTTACGAACTCTAGGTACCTGATCCCAGGTTCACTGTTACTCTAGAAAACATAGATAAGACTTAATCCCGCACTTAGGAAGGCAACATACTTTGTAAGAGCTTGACCTCTTATCTTTACGATATAGCTTTCATATCACAATAAAAATCATCAGTATGGAACAGAACAGTTTGACAGGATGACTCAGTAAAGCCATGAAATGATAGATATTCGGAATAAAAGGTAAACAAACAATGCCAGGTCATTGCTGCCAAAGGAGGATCCTTCACCAGTTGCTGTTTATGCAGTAAGCTAATTATTTGGGCTTTGCTAGGTTGTTTGGTTGTTTCTGTTCTTAGGGCAGATTATTGATACAAGATGGAGGTTTAGTATGATCTTATTTATTTGCACAGATTGCACACTACATCCCAGGATGCAGTTTCTGGGACACCAGCCATGTGCTTTGTTTGCAGTTTCCAAACTGGTGATTCCAGCGAGTCCTGTGAACCATTGTCCTCTGTTCCTGTTCTTCAGATCCCTTTGCAACATTGCTTCGCTTCCTATCTGCTGGACTTCCCTTGGCACTCGGCTCTCGTAATGTTTGCAACCAATCCATTCCCTTGTCCATTTATGTGAATGCAGGCCCAAGAAAACCCATATACCATCCAGCTTAAGTTTCCCCAAACTTGACAGTGTAGCTGGCTGACTTGGGAGTTATCTGCAGTAGTCTCCAGGCAGTTCATTCAGGCTGAATTATGTCTTCTGTTTACTCTGTAAAAAGGATGGTTATTACATGTCAGCTTTAATGCTGTCTGTAGCTGTTCATAGGTCAAGAATCTGCTTGAGGGCATCCGTTAATGTCTTCCAGCAAAGCAGGTGTAGCACATCTCAGTGTTCTGTCTGATGTGCCTGTAAATAGAGCTAATGGCATTTCTCTGGAAAGGATGGCTTGATTATCCAAGAACAGCACAGAAAAGTGGATTGCATGTGCTAAATGGTTTTAGCTGGAAGAAGAACAGGAAGATGATGAGGAGGACAGTTAAGTTTTCTTTTCTGTCTTACATCAGAGCCTATACCTCTCAAACAGTACCCTACCTTTCTCATTGCCAGGCATTTTGAGGGGTAGACAGGACAGGAGGAGGAGTCTTTCCAGTTGAATTGCTTTACTTCATGCTTATAATTAAATATTAATTTGTTTAGGGATTGGAATGCAGGGCTACATCTATATTCATAAATTAAGTAGTGTCAGAGAAGAGTCCTGGGCACTAGAACTGCATCTTCTGTCCTGATAAATTGTTCTCATGGTCCCCGGACTGCCTTTGGCCTGTGCTAACCTGAATGCTCTTAAGCAGTTTTGTCAGCATGGTTCAGGAGCTGACGCAGGCCCTTGCAGCAAGCAGGCAGTTCACGTACAGACGCCTTGCGTTGGAAGGTTATTGTATTGATGCAGGATGTTCTGTGCCAGTTGTCCTCAGTACTGGGTACAACCCTGGGCATATTTAATTTATTGATATGGATGTAGCCCACATGTTCCACCTCCTACCTCCCAGTGACATGTCTCTCTCGTTTGCTCAGTAGCTCTTTCAACCCAATGTGTAGATAAAGAATAATGCATAAAAGGGGACTGAGTATTGTCTGCCCAGTATTCAAGGCAAGGATTTGAACTAGGAACTCCCTATTATCCTCACGGAGAGTCGTCAGACTACACATTCTCTAAGGCAATTTGATCTCAGGGCGATTCGATCTCATGCCTTTATATTGCAGCAGTGCAACTAGTATGATAAACCTAGATAGCAGATGAGTCAGAGATAAGGGAAGGAAAATGACGCTCCAGCCTGGTGGGTGGGCATGCTCTTGGAAGAGGAAACTCCTGGGCATCTCCCTCTGTTTTGATACATGTTCAATAATACAAAGTAGATCAGAGGCAACTGAGCACATTTGTCCCAGCATCTGGAAGTGGTGAGCAATGCAGGTTTGGACTCAGATCCCTGTAAGAAGATGAGGGAATTTCAACTCTGTATCACATATTCTGGTGGAGTACTTTTATGTCACAGCTTAGGAGATTTTCAGCACTGCAAATTTAACCTAACTTTCCTTATAGCTACTCAGAAAAATAAAATTTAAAAAAAAAAGGTATTTAGGTTGGGTTACATATAAGCTTTCTTGTTCACGGGAATAATATTTTTGGTAGTAGACATATATTTTGTGAAAAAGATAAGAAAAATGAAGTGTGATTTGATCTACATTGTAGGGGGGTTGATTGCTGTAATGCAAAATGTTACTTTTTTCACCCTACTTACATCAATAATATAATAGCAGCCCACCTCATTCCCTTAAAAAAGCTATTTCAAAGTCAGCAGTCAATGATCTAATATTGGAAGAAATGTAATGGGTCCAGGCTTGTTATGTTCAGAAAAGGTTCATGTATTGGCTTTCAGTAGAATCACCAGGAATTGACTTTGGAGAGTCAAAATACAAAGAAAAGAAAAGCTGACAGTAATTCTCAGATGGTTTAAATGATTTCTCTAATTCTTAAGGCTTCATAAACATGTGCAATGAGATTTTTCTCAAATGGCAAACTACAGCTGTGATTGTTTTCTAGTCCAGTACAGAAAGGATATCTTTTCCTTCCTTTCAAAGAAGTTCCATATTGATCAGCATTCACAAAATTGAGGAAGAAGGCCTTTGCTCATATTGAATTTTAGTGTTCCAACAACCCTTTTCTAAAAATGAGGATTTACTGGTACTGTCCTGGAACAATAGTACTAGGAGTGATAAATGCAGAGAGAAATTATCTGACTCACTTCTGCATATTCTGTCTATGCTGCCTGAAGTCTTTGGGAATCTGCTTCAAACATAAAATACTTAGCACCTGTAAAGGAAGAGCAGAACATCTATCAGACATGGAAAGATCAAAAACTGTGATTCCCTACGGAGTAACTGTTGGGAGGGAAACAGCTGAATAATGTCGAACATATTCAGATCTCTGACTTCACCTAATGCGCACTGTGAAGCTTGTGTTTATAGTCAAATGGTGATTCCTTTTTATGGATGTGGAAAAGCTTTTGTGCTTCTGCCTTAACAGATACTGATCTATTATTTGTTTGAGAGACAGTGCCAGTTTACCTTCTCTTAGGCAAATATGAAATTATTATGAATCTAGAGTGTGATTTTTGTTTTGTTGAAAATGCAGGCCTGGCCATGGTATGACTTGGGACATAGCTTAGGTGCATGGTACACTGAAAATATTTGGGAACTGACAAGGGTATTTAAAAACTCCACTTAAAAAATTGAGGTTCACTCAACCTCAGCAATAATCTGTCCATTCATGGGCATCAGGAATATTCACTGGAAATGCCCATGCTCAGGAATAAGAAACTGATCTGTTTCACTTCTTCATTTTGAAAAGCCATCTTACCCCAGTCTCTAAAACAACCTTTAAACTTCAGTCCTTCCACTTCTAAAGACTTGGGTACATGAAAACTTCTGTGATAACCTTTCCTCGCTGCCCAACCTTAGTAGGTTGGCAGGGTTAAGTAAAACTTACTGAGGGAGGAGAGGAGGAAGAAATATTCCTCCAGTTGCTTGACTAGTCCATAGCCACTGTGACAATGTAATGGCTGAAGTAGCCCTTGTGGGCTCTTTTTCCTATAGGAAAACACCAGGAGGGGATTAGATCCTATTGGCAGACCAGACCCTCTTGTAACGCCAGCATCAAAAAGAACCATCCTGTGCTACATGAAGAGTCAAACTATTCCCTCCTCCCAAGGTGACTCCCAAATTTTGGTTGCCATTATGTTCTCAGCAGGACCCTTGTCTGCTTTAGCAGATGGTGATGGGTAGAAAAGAATGCAGGTGACATTTCTTTAAACAGTGGAAATAAAGCTATCCTAAGCGCAAGCACAAGCTTTTTTAAATTGAGTAGTATTTGTTCAGTACCTGTTACATGATGTATGTGCTTGACATATGATTTGGCTTTTCTTAGGATGGTTCTGTCCCTGCTACATACAATAGTAGGCTTCCTTCAACTAGAAAAACATGTTGTTGCCTCTAAACATGTCAGGAGCCACTTCATTAGCAAAACACCCTCCATGGTTGTTTCTTCAAGGAGTGGACCGTTGTCTCAGAAGCGTCACACTCAATAGGAAGAATATCAAAAAAGTGCTCATTTTTTTCTCTGGAAATGGCATGACTGGGGATGAGCAGACAGACAGCATCAAAAGGAAATGAAATCCCAAACACATGCTTGCTGATTTATGGAAATAACCTTCCCTTTTCCAAAGATAGAAATCTTCCACTGGGAGCTGTAAGGTACAAAGTAGCCAGACAGCACAGCCTAGGAATGTGTGTCTCTAACATAAATATAGCTAATGTTTTCTATTATTGCTATGTAGCAATCTCTGGGCAGCAATCAGTTCCATTTAAATACAATGAATATGAAAGCAATAATGTTTCAAATTTCACTCGTACATACTGTCAAGAGAAAGAATGTTGATAAGTCTCTTTTTTTAATAATCTGATTGTGAAATAGAATGAAAATCTAGTTCCTGCGACACAGTTAAGTGCTCTTTTTAGTTCTACACTGTCTGAATTTTTCAGGGTTTTGAAGGTATTCCTGTCCCGAACTGCTCAGCGTATTCCATACATGACGGGTGGACGAGTGATGAGGATGCTGGCTGTAATTCTTCTGATAGTCTTTTGGTTTCTTGTTGGCTGGACTTCTGCAATAAACCAAAATTTGGAGAGAAACATTCCACTCATTGGCCAAGGGCAGACATCTGACCACCTGATCTTCAACATGTGCCTCATAGACCGCTGGGATTACATGATGGCTGTTGGTATGTTCATTTTCTAGTTTATCCTTTAATTGTTAAAATAAAGCTTAGTTGCTTTATACTTTCTTTTTTCTTCTTCTTCTTTTAAAGTACCTTAAAGTGTTGTCAGTCTGTATAACATCACTTGAAAAGCATCTAGAGAAATGCGGTATTGGCATACATGTTTTTAAATGGGATAAGAATTAAAACATGATCAAAGTATTTTGAGAATTTTATGACTTTCAAAGGTTTGTAACTTTGATTGTAATACCAATATTATTGGTGCTGAATAAATGTGATCTTTGAAGGCAGAAGGTATCTAGCATGTTACGCTATTAAAGTGAGAACCTGTGGCTAGAGTAAGGGAGGCTTTTTGCTTTTACATGACAGAACTGGATAGATCTCTCTGGTGTGGGAAGGCAAAGAACTTGCAAGACGACTTTCCTAACTGTAGACAAATTAATATTTAAGTAACGGGAATAGGACACACACATCCAACTTTCCAAATTCTTGTATTTGCTAGATGTACTCTCAATGCTTGGAAATAGGCAGGAGCTTAAAAATGATAGCCTGCAGAATTCTATCATCTTGAGAAGAAAAATAGCACATTTTTATTTCCTTTGTTTTGTAACAAATGGTGGATTGCCCGTGCCAGAGTTCAGTTATACCCGTAGCGGGTGCTTCCTCCTGATGTCTGCGCTGCTTCAGTGCTGCGATTCGCACCTAGAGCTGCTGTTTCTAGCACAGCACAGATGTGCCCCTCCGTATGGTTCCAGGAACAATCTGAAATACGTCAGTATTTGGAAGCCTGAAATAAATACTTACCTTTCTGCTCTTCCCCTGCTTCCCCATCAATCTCCCCTCGACAGAGCTCTGCTGCTGAGGATTAGGGAGAGGCAGTTGTGGCTCCTCCACCTGAGAATGAAGATGAGATAGATAGGAGCAGCCTGTAGGTTTTAGGAGTGTTTTCTCCAAGAGTGGTGTACAGAAGGCTTGTGTTTATATAGTAACATGCAGCAGTTTTAAAGGGCAAACAACTGCTTCCACCTTCACCAGGGACTTTCGTGCCATAGGAAAGAGATGCCTCTAAGCTACTCTGTTAACTCTCTCGTCCCTGTGCTCTGATCTCTGAGGTGGTCAGGCACATTAGTCCCAAATCTGTCAATGCACTAGCTGGCAGACTACACAGAGATGAGTATAAATGAGCACATTTAGAAATGTGCCTGGATCTGGGCACTTGGGCGGGGGGGTATACTGATAAGATATAGCTATGTTTTGCAGTAATGAAATTGTGTTATCACCAGACAGGTCATAAAGATTAGTAACAAAAAGGAATTAAATGTGGAACACTTGTTGATGTCATCTGCACTAATCTATTTTGCCTAAAAATTTTACTGCTTTTCATAGCCAGTACTACAGGGTAGTATTACTAAGACTTTGATACAGGTGGTTGTTGCATGATGTCAAACAAATGTTTTTATTCTCTTGATCTTATAGCTATAGTAGTAAACTGATCAACAACTCCCATTTTAATATCTAAATATGATCAATAGTCCGCTTTTGATGAGGAAATGACATAAGTTGCTCTCTGCCTAGTGACAGAAATGAAAGGAATTGATGGAAAGGAGGTGATGGAAGTGTTTTAAGAAATATTTACATCAAGAGAGGTTTTTATGTTTTAAAATACATTCAACTAGAGTAAAGGCAAGATTAGTTTTCAAATCTGAACAAAATCAGGAAGAACTTCTTATGCTCTGTCATTTTGCCTCCTTGCCAAAACTACTTTATAAGCAGATTTGTGTTTGTGCAAATCTTCAGCAAACTAGGGAACCACGTTAACTGGTACCAACAGATATCCAGCTATAAGGCTGTACTAAGACATGTATGTGTATATGTGTGTGTGTGTGTGTGTGTGTGTGTGTGTGTGTGTATGTACATGTACTGTAAGATTTTTATTGTTAACAGCTGTCTGAAAAGCTTAAAACCAGTTGGATCTAATTCCAAAATCATACACTTCCTCTTAGAAATATGTCAGGAGAAATATACATAATGCAGGATCTCATTTATTCATATCATTGACTGGGAGCATCCTTGCAAAGGATTATATTTTATTAATTAATTAATAGGTTTTAATTAATTAATTAATAGATTATGATACTTGATTTAAAATACTAAAATAAAAATGCAGGATGCTAATTTATAAAAGGAGTCTTATTTAGTTCAGTTACAGTTGGGCACAGTTTTTTATATAGCACTAGTGAATGTGTTTTATTATATTCTCTCAAACGTGGCCCAATATTAGAGTACCCCACTGTTTAACTCTTCTGTCAAGGTTTTACTGGAATGCAGAGAGGGAATTTTCAAGGTCACAGATTAGTGAAGTGAGAATTAACAAGGCTCTGTTAGAAAGTCATAGTGAGATGAAGCCTTTATGCTACTAGAGATTATTGGAGTTAGGATTTATGAAGCATTTTCCATACTAATCATGTTATTTAGGCTCTGTCTCAAGATACTTTTATTGCAGTGAATGTTTTATATTTGCATTTCCATTAAGTTTAAGAAGATACTCAAGTAGGGACTTAGACACTAAAGTTGTCTCCATTTCTAACATTTCCTCTATATTCTTTGATATGCTAATGAGAAAAATCAGCATTCAGTAAATCTCATTTTTTCTGCGTAACCTAATGTAAGATAATACGCATTTTCCATGAGTATGGATACTTGTAGGTAGCTTATTTGACACTTGCCTAGATTCTTTATCTCCTTCATGTTCATTTCAGTGTCACTTTCAAGGTTGTAGCATCTGTCACATCGACAAGCTATGGCACAGCTGACAGTCCGAGATTTTCAAGAAAGACCTGAGGGCTTGAAAATGCTCTTCCACAAAGCCTTTTATTGTGGCCTGAATATATGCTATACTTCTACTTGCCACAGCCAGATTTCTGATTCCAAATTTAAAAAAATGAAGGAAGACGAAAAGGCTTTTGGTACCTAAGAGCTCACGGTATTACAGATGAAACTATTATTATTTAGGCTGAGGGGAAAATCCTATAAATGAAATGTATGTCTGTACAAGATTTAAAAGAACTTCCCAAAAACCGGAGGAAAAAAAAAGCAAAATAGTAAGTTTAATGAACAAAGCTCTTGGCAGGAGAGAAGGACAGCCACAAAGATTACACATGCATTTAAAAACACAAATAAAAAGCATGGGTGAAATCTTAGCTGTTTTAAAGTGGGTGGATGTTTCTGACTTCAGCAGAGCCAGAGTTTCATCCGGTGTGAATAGCGTTTATACTGTAGTTGTTAGTACAATTCCCACATGTGCACTGTGTGGTTTTTTCAGTGTCTTATTTAAACCAGGAATGAATGGCAGATATTAACTAAACATAGCTAGGTATTGTTCCTCAGCACCTGCTTATTCCCAGCTGGCATGAGCTGTGCTGCTCTAGCACAGTTGGCTGGAGCTACTGTAATGGCACACTAATCAGTATTTCATATTTTTGGTCCTGTTATCAAGAGAATTTCAAAGAAAAGGTTATATCATGATTATTGAATGCTCTTCATCAAAAAAGGGACAAAGCAAGTGTTTCAGGCTGTGTTCCCGAAAGAACTCCCTCCCACTGTTCATTTGTTAATATTTAAGCTATATAATCTTTGCGTCTAAAGATGATATGAGTTGCCGGAACAAGCTCTAATAAGCTGAGAATTAAGAACGCCTGTATAGTTTTGAGTTAGTGCATTGCAGTACAGTCCTAAAGGCCCTTTATTAAATTTTCTACAGGCCCTCTGCTACATTCAGCAAATGAGTGATTATTATTTCTTTTTACTATCCACATCTGATGAATGGCCCTATGCCCCATTAGGCGTATGTTGTTCAGAGTATGCAATGAATAAAGAATTGTTAATTTCCACATGGGCATTTTTAAGCTGTGTTCTCCCTAGCACTGATGTGCAAAGATTAAAGCCAAAATTGTCAACAGTAGCTATCCGTTTTGGTTGCCTATCTTGAGACATATAGGGACTGATTTTTAGAGTATTTAGAAATGTTTATAGCCTCTTCTGCGCTGAAAGCATAATCAGGATGTACTTGTTAACGTTCAGCACTTATACAGATTCTGGCTTCAGTTCTCACATTAGATACTCAGAAAATGTACTATGTAAAAATAGTGATGGCTTGTGAAAAGCTTGCTCTGACTGATGTGACCAGGACTGTATGAAAGTGTTTGCAGAAGAAATGGGAAAAGAGTCTTATTTTACAGAGGAGCATTCAACTGCTTTCACTTCAAGACTGCCCTTTTTTTCTTTATAACCCACTCTGTCCCCCCACATACACCTCTTTCATGGCTCGCATCAACAGTACTGGTTTAGGTCCATCATCTCTAAAAGATACAGGAAATCTGGAAAAGATCTGGACAAGTGGCGAAGGTGATGGTTAGTGCAGAACATCTTCTGTTTGAGCAGAGACTAATCAAGTGGGACAATTCACTCATCTCAGGTTAACTGTTTCTCCCCATCTAATTTAAAATAGAACATGCTCAAGGGTGGTGGAGAACGGAGCTTCTCAGAAAACACTTTTTTTTTTTTCACAGTGGGCAGTCACCAGTTTTCTGTCTCCTTTTCTCAAAAGCAGCAGAACTCTTTTAGCTGAAAATAAAGAGCGCACCTCAAGGAAAACACCCACTATAGGAAATTTTTACCAAAATGATTAAACCTTAACTAAAAACAAGATCTTATAAAGGAAAGTGTCAGGCAGCCCTAGGTTCTTCTCCCACCCCCGGATACAACAGATGATAATGATTTTGGAGCATTCATATAGCCACTAAATGAAGCAATTGGTGGATGTACTGAAAAAGGAAAATGACTCAAATATATATTCAAATTAGAATTTTAGTTGTTTAACTCTTGAAGTAAATATCTACCTCTTTGAACCTGTAAACCATTACATTAATACTTAGAAAAATGCTCATATTTTTAAGAAAGAATAAGCATGTTTCAAAATTCCCTATTTCAATGTCTTATTTTAC